ACAATAGTACCCATTGTATTATGCCTTCCAACCCAATTTAGCTCTAGTTTATCACCTGCCTTTTTTGTAGATTAACCCTTTAACCCCAAAAATCAACTTGCATATTCTTTACACTGTTCTCTGTTCATTGGTGATCATTTTAGTTTATTCTGTTTGATTTGTCTGTGATACTGTAAGGAGAAATTTGATGCTGGTCGCTGCTAGGGGTTAAAGGGTTAAAAAGAATTTCCTTCAGAAGTTCAAAATGCCAGTGTCATTGAACATTGATGCCAATAATATGTACCTGATACCTGCCAAAGAGACAATATGTATCAAAGATCAAGAAAGTGACTTTGCTTTGGTGATATATCTTTTTAGAGTAAGCTCTGACAACAACGCTACTATCTTCCAAAGAGTAATGGCCCAAGTGTTACACCAACATGGAGGAGAGGAAAGGTGTCCATAGACAAGGGCCGTGATGGAATGTACACTGTCATTCGCATAAGGCAATTCACAGTCCAACCTTTATAATTGCTGTGGTCACCCTTTGGGAAGGGGCAAAATGACGGGTTAGTTTGACCCATTTAATCAGGTTCAAACACTTTAAGGGACATTAACAAAAACACTACAAAGATACAGAAGTGAGTGAGAGTAGCGAGGGATTAATCCTTAACTACCTCAAGGAGTTTTCCATTCCTCCAGATGAAGAGAGAAATAAGTCAACAACAAAACAGTTCATTACAAGGAATGCACAATTTCATTTAGTGCAGCGGTATGCTAATTGTTTTAAGAAGTGACCATTTAAACAGCCCTGAAAGTGGGACTGCTCAATGTAAATTTACCTGTTTTCATATGTATGATATAATAGTCACACATCATTAAAGTCGGACAAATTTAATTTTGGAACAGATCACGTGATATAATATAAATATAACATCAATTAAGATTTTAACCATCTAGTGGTAGCTTCATATCATTTGTAAAACATTGACAGGTTGGCCGCAATGTTTATAAGTGATGAATTACCTTTGTCCTTAAGCAAACAAGAAAATCTTAATTGTTTTATTTGCTGGGCACCCTGAAATTTATAAGTTAGAGTAATTGGTTCCCCTACAATATATCATTTCCTAGAATACAGTCCCCTGTACTGATGTAAGCCTGTGCTAATGCTAGACACCTGACTTTACCATTACAACAGCTGCTTTACAAAGATATTTTCAGTCATTAAATGAGACTAGAAGACTGAAAAATTCTGAAAAATATGAAGATCATAAAAGTAAAGAGTAACCTGATGTAAACCTTGGATGCTTAGTTGGTTTAAGTGGCTTGTTATCTCTGAAAAGGCAGTAAATAACATATCTACTGACCATATCTTTTCATTCAAAAAACAACAATTTATTATAAGATTTAATTTCTGTGATGTACAGAATAATAAGAGAGATTAGTCTGGATATTGTTTAAGTCTCATCTAATAATACTCTTTTGTTACATATCCAATGGTGGAATCAGTTGGATTGTATTGTAATGAGTTCTGGTGAAATGGGGCGACAACCATGAGAATGGAAGAAGAGGTCCTCCTGATGGAGACAATGAGCAGCGAGGATAGCTGTTATGAAGCTGACGAAGATGGCAAGGAGGCACTAACCAGTTATAAGATCAAAAAGCTCCCTTGGGAGAGCACAGCTCTGCGAAAAATCAAAAAGCAGCTTGATAAAAAGTATAACAAGAGGCTGTCTAAGAGAAAGAGAGAAAGGTACATCGACTGTATAAAGGGCATAAACATAGTAAATTAGCAGTAACCTCCGCGGTCTATTGTCTACTACATTTTTAGGAAGATGTACAGTTGTACGTACCTGTGAGAATCCATAGTACATTATTTTTCTAAAGAATTTGGCATGCGAACTGAACAACCAATGTAACCCCCGTGAGAGCACACTATTAACTAATTCATTTCGCATACCTTTCATGGTGAAAGTCATAAACGTGATTTTACATACCTTCCTTATGAAGGCAACAAGATGTGCGGAACCGGCTACATGTTGTCAAATCGCCACCCATTGCCTGCACCCAGTCCCATAAGTGCATTCATCAGGATGCCAAAGGATAAAATTCTAGCCGGCCTCGCATGACCAAAGCTTGTCTTGAAATCTTTGTGCACGTCAATGGCAGTAATCAAGAGAGGATAAAGGGGACAGAGAAGGCATCCCCCATACACACCCTATTCCATAGGTAATTCGTCTCGAGTTATTTTAAAGACCATAGATCCCAAGGGGGATTAAACAACAGCCAATGACATAGCGCGAATGTGTTCCGCGTGGATGACCCACGCTCAGATCCACGCGTCCCTCGCGAATTGACGCAGAAAAAAATGGCGGAAGACGCGGAGAGCGATGTTGCTATTTGTTTTGTCGACGAAAACGGCTAAAGAGAGATTTCTGCTAAAGCTGTGTCAGCGAAACGGAAATTAAAAAAGAATCACCCTTCCTCTCTTGCATAGAGCTAACAGTAGACACAGGATCATTTATAATTTACAATTTACAGTTTTCTTTTATTATTCAACAAAAATAACACTTGGCGTCCTACTTGCTTTATTATACAAACGACCGGTTTCAATAGACCGGCGAAATTTCTCATTTTATTAAAGCACTGAGGTTACGACAACTTCGAGTTAAACTGATTTCACGGGTTGTCAAAGAGACCAGCGATTCCCTTTTCCCAGGTAAGCGCCGACTCATTTAGCTTCAATATTCAGAAATGCTCTCGATCTCTTTAAGCTTTCATTGCCTTTCGCCCGACATGTTTTGCACGGCGTTTAGTCATGCGAAACCTCCACGAAACATCCACGCAGCGCGCGAGGTAACTTTATCCCGATTCTAAAAGTAACTCGAGACGAATTACCTATGGAATAAGGTGTGTATGGGTATGCCTTCTCTGTCCCCTTTATCCTCTCTTGCAGTAATATTATCTTTTAGTGTGTCGTCAATTTGATTAACCTACAAATGCATTATTGCTCAGTAATGTCTACACTATATCAGTCAGTTGTCAAATGCTTTTGCTACCTCTTCTAACAGAAAAAATTCTTCTGTTGAAATGAAAATATTTATAGTGTTATATCAAAGGAGAATGAAGAAAGCTGGGAAATTGACATGAAGAGACTAAAAGTGTCTGACTTTTGCTTGGAGAGGGAGAATTTGGAATTGTTAAAAGGGGTACCTATCGCGGACTTGATGGAAGGACCTGTAATGTCGCAGTAAAGCAGTTAAAAGGTATCACTTGAATTAAGAACGTTTTTTAATACTCGGGAAATAAAATTTTGTTCACCAAATTAATCAGTTACACTATTTTTTAAAAAAAATAATGCCATTCTCCGCAATGAAACCTGCAACTGAAACGGACGCATTGTACTTCACTATTTTCTTTCTTCTACTGACTTTAAATTTTATTTCCGATTATTCAATGATAAATAGAATGATATGTGTGGAGATTAGAACTCAGAACAACTCTGAGTTAAAGAATTTTAAGAGATAAAATTATATTACCATGACAGACATTAAAAGCTCACCTGATTAATCACTGGGCTTTTCTATGCAGATGGCACAAGTATCACTGACAAAGATGATCTGTTAGGGGAAATACAGATGTTAAAACAAGCTGGATGGCATCCAAACATCGTTGCTTTAATAGGCGCATGTACTCAAGAGGGTATGTTTTATCCTAGTCAGTATTATCTGTTAACGTTGATTTAACAGGGATGATTTTCATTACTATATTATCAATTTATTATTTTTCTAGAGGAGATTCTTGTTGTGACTGAACTTATCCCTAATGGAAGCCTGGAAAAATTCCTGAAATCAAAGCGGATGGTAGGCGTTCCTGGCGAAGCGAGTACTTATGAAAATGTGCATTTTGGGCTAAACGACCGGGAGTTACTAGTTATTGCATATCAAATTGCTTTGGGAATGCAACACTTAGAGGAGAAAAAGGTACGAACTGACAGAAGTTCTATTACCCTTCTTCAACGCATTGTATCAGTAACTGAAAAATTCAGAAAACTGTAAAGCCAGAAATAGTCTGTGTTGCAGGGAAAAGCTAACCAGGCGTGAGAAAACTAAACCTCAACCTTGAGGGATTCAAGTCGCTGGAAAAATCGAGCATAGGACAGAATGAAACTATTTCAAGCCAAGGAAATTCAGTCTTTGATAAAATTTAAGTTCGGGCATGCTCTCTTCTATTCTCAAAGGATGGTACTCTTTCCGCTTCACTGAGCCTCTTCGTTTGCTTGCCACATTGATGAATGAATATTAAGGCCTGTCTGCATCCTATAAACCATATTGTACGCGCGTTATGTATATTGATAACTAGACCATAGTGTATACTTGTATTAAAACTGACATAAAAGAATGAAAATTAGACCCTTTCAAAAGCAGAGGAGGGGAAGGGAGGTCGAGTTGCTCTCATGGTTGAACCATCACTATTTGGATATCAACTAAGAATCTAAAAGATGACCGTCACAGGTCGCCATGCAGTTTTATATCCCATAATATTAACTTCATTTAGTGGAGCGTCTATGAAAAAAAAAGAACAAAAACAAAACAAACAGACGATTGAAGGTCTGCGACCAAACTTGCCACGCTTTGGTCAGAGAATTGACCACTCCAGAAAATACTATAACATACCATAATGCTCTTTGTTTGTCACCCCAAAATTTTGCATAAGCATTGTTTTCAGTTTCTCTTGGGGCCATTTTAACTCCCAAAAGAAATTGTAGACAATGCTTATGCAAATTTTGGGGTGACAAACAAAGATCATTATGGTATGTTATGGTATTTTCTGGAGTGGTCAATTGTTTGTTCTTGCAATTGCACCTCTATCAGGACTAAGATAGCCTCCTATGCAGATCGTTCTCAAGCGTTCTCACTTACTTCGCAGGTATCTTCTGTATGTTTGAATCTCTCCCTATAGCTCTTTACATTTTATTCTTTTGCTATTATAATTAGAGGGTCGATTCTATTTTTTTCTAGTGTATTCATCGCGACCTTTCAGCTAGAAATGTCTTCATTGGCGAAAACCTCGTAGCCAAAGTTGGTGACTTTGGATTGGCAAGGGATATCTCGTTCGATGGCATTTACACCAAAACATCCTCTGTAAGTACATGTTAGTTCGGGAATCACTCTTTTTCTAGTATCCTTAGTTTAACCACACAATCCAAGTACGTTAGCGCTAGCATAAAGCTCTTTACTTCACCCTTTTCTTTTTCCTAACCTACTGTCTGTAGCTTCTAAAAAGAGATTTGTTTTCTCTTCTATAGGGTAAAGTACCTTGGAGATGGATGGCGTTAGAATCGTTAAAGGATCGTGTATATACTTCCAAAAGTGACGTGTAGGTGTCCTAACTGCTTGCGTCCAATCGTTAAAGTCATTTCGACTATACCGTTTACTCATGTATGTAAATTGAATTATTCTTTGACTTATTGTAATATCTTTCTGTTTCTTTCGTTTCCTTAAAGATGGTCGTATGGTATTGTGTTGTGGGAGATTGCCACTTATGGTGGGTATTAAAAGTAGACAAATTTGTATGCTCTCTTCCAAGATAAAACTTACCATTTTATATATAATAAATATGTTCCGTAGAGTATTAGTAACACCAAAAACGAATACAAACATCCCACGATATTTTGTTCTAGGGAATAGGTTATTTATATTCTTGAAGATCGGTTTGAGAAGTATTTTTTGCTAACGCCGTGCATGATGGAACATTCATATTTTCCCGAAGGAAATAAAAAATGCGAGCGAAATTGTAAGCGTAAACATTACCGAATTTCTGTCTTGAGTAAAGTTGCCTGAAGAGCATGATCGAATAGCAAAATTTAAACCAAGATTATGCGCTAGATAGAACACAATGAAGTTGACAATAGGCCTGACTGTGTTTTACAGTTACACGTGGAGACGAGGCTGGGTTGACCTAATTATGTTAAATCAGTTAGTTGTTATGCTAACTAGTATTTTTTAAATATAATGATCTTGAGAAAAGGAAACTGTTTGTATCAAAACAAGGCCAACCTCCCTTAGCCTTTTAGTGAATGTGAGACTGATACCAAGCTCATAACTGTAAAATAGTCTATTGTCCATGAAGTACTTCCCCACAGAGGAACTGACCAGTATTTGGTCAAGGAAATCAACATAACACACTCCAAAAACTCTTTAAAAACCTGTCGTCATTATTTCCAACCAAGATGAATTATCAAGTCCGTTGTTGTCAATTTATTCTTTGAAACTCCTTGACTAACTCCTTGACTTTGCGGAAGATGTTTCTTTCTTGCCTTTGCAAATCGATTTTCCACGAAAACCGGAAAGCCATTATAAGCCCTACACTAAGCTGTGACGAAATGAGTTGCTCCAAATAACACATTTAACCATCTTGACTTTTTTTATTTTATTTTATTTCTGACCAATCATTTAAAACGTCGAAAACTGATTTTAAACAGGTCAGACATTCTCATTATAAGTAAACGTTTTTGTTGTTGTTTGCTTTTTGTTTGCTTATTTGTTTGTTTGTTTTTCTTTAGTTCGTCTAAGTCGATGGAATAAAAGATCTGTTATTGGACGGTTTAGTGTGTAGTATCGTGGGATATTTCTACCCGTTTCTTGTAATATGACCTAAAATTTGGTGGATGTCTGTAGGTGAGGTGCTGTACCCTAACATAATAATACTAGCGGATCTAATCAGTTGGCTGTCCATGGGGAACCGTATGTCACGTCCGGAACATAGCTCAGACGAACTGTAAGTTTGCAATTGTCCTTAAGCTTATACAAATGAATAAATGAATATTCAAAAACTCAATATTTTAATCAATATTTATCCAGGGACATCCAATTTAGTAGAGCTAGTTTAAATGCAGCCCTGACACAACACAAAAGCAAAGACATTAAAACATTAAAACTAGAAAATTAATTAAGTTACACAGCCAAAATGTACCGCGGGTGTTACTGTTTAAAATGGCGCTTTAGCTTGATTTTAAATTCGCTGAGCATCTCTACTTGTCTAATGATCCCCTGGAGCTTTAGCGTGTCACGCTCTATTAACTGCGATTTACTGTTTCAATGTAAATCTTTATAGATTTAGGTCCTGTTTACATGGAGGTGGGGGGACCCAAGGTAAGTGAGTTAACATTTGGCGGGTCACCCCACCTATCATGTTAACGTGATCAAATTAAAATGACCTGTAACCTTGAAACTCTGTTACCTTGTAGTTACCTTAATACTCTTAAAGTCGGTACAATATATGTCCCCATACATGATATACGTACCGCTATAGCAGTGTTAAGCGCTGCACTCAAGACTTATCAGTTGTGAAGACGCAAGGCATTGAGACACGTTTTTCCAGGAATGTCTTTGAAATTTAAAGAACATCATCCTCGGAATTCGGACTCGCACACACTTGGAGGTCGTGAACAAATGAGAGCATTCTGAGCCCTTAAGAACTTGCAAACTCGGCAACGGCATCAGCAGATTTTCTGGTGTTCTTTTCACAGTTCTTTGTGTGTTCCAATGTATCAGTCGGAACGAACATGTGGGAGACGGTATTTAAAATCGTCTCCAAATGCTGAATCTGCATCACTCGCGGTCTCCCCATTTTCCCTCAGTTCTGCATTGTCTCGCTAACTTTGCATTAGTGAAACTCCAATGTAGGTCAAGGTCAGGGTCATTTATTTTAGATTTTTCATTGCTTTCAGGTTCATGACCCTGAGAAAGCAAATTTTTTACACACGTGTCTAAACCGCTATGTAAACTTTTAGTTGAAAATAAACAGCAGAAACAGCTGATCGATCGCGCGAAACTGGATGATGTACACCTAACTTTCCAACAGTTCCTTTTCATTACTATTTTGATTTATACGGAGGCATTTTAACCAAAACTTTAGTTGAGAAACAGTCAGTTTTTCCATCTCTTCCTTAATAAAACTAGTACCAGGAATGTCCTCTGGAGTAAGAGCGACTTGATCGTCCGCCATGTTAGTTATTTTAAATTTGCCGCGGGGGCTATTAAGCCTCACTTCCATGCAACTTCCGTTTTTTTCTGGAAACAGAGTATTGCGTAAAAATCCAGAACTTGAACGGGATTTGAAACCGTGACCTCGCGATACCGGTGCGATGCTCTAACCATGCAACTAAGCTATGAAGTCAATGATGTTGGGAGCTGGTCAATTATGTGTTCATATGTTCCCGTGATGAGATGAATGTGACAAATGTATATGAAGTAAATCATATATGAGAACTGCGGAAATGAATTCTGGCAGTCGTGAACGCAATACGCCATTTGCTCGATGACGCCTTTTACTACTAAGACCAGACTTCATTTCGTTCTTTCTTTCAAATTTAAAATTGGTAATCCAAGTGATGTTTAAATAACAAAAGCTCTAATTTACATAAGAAAGAAAAACCCTGAAGGATTCTGGTAGTAGTAGTAAAATGACGTCATCGTGAACATGGTCTGTTTATGGAATTGCGTAAGAAGCCTGAAAGAAAATTCAGGACTTCAACGGGATTTGAACCTGTGACCTCGCGCTCTAACCAGCTAAGCTATGAAGTCACTTATTTTGGGAGCTGGTCAATTATGTGTTCATGTTCCCGTGAAAGAGATGAATGTGGCAAAATAATGTATATGAAATAAATCATATATGAGAACTGTTCCAGGCTCCGAGATAGTCGGGTCTGTAGAAGGCACAAGTGTAATAATTGGACCCAAGTGTAATAAAGGTCCCATCTGTAATAACATTTGGACCCAAGCGCGGGCGTAATAAAAGTCCCATCCGTAATAACATTTGGACCCAAGCGTTATAAAAGTCCCATCCGTAATAACATTTTGAACCCAAGGGTAATAAAGGTCCTATCTGTAATAACATTTGGACCGTCTTCAGCTTGTCTTACTTTGCTTAGAAATCAGCGCGACATTTTGGAGCTCTTACATTGAAATTCTCACCTGACACCATTACGATCCAAAAGATGGCCAATTTGCAAAATATTGTCACGCGCCTCTGTATCATTGTTCTCAGCTAGTCTAATGGTGCTTATCATAAAGCGATATTTTGGAGCTCTTGAAAGATAGTGAGAGACACCTCCGAATAAAGATAACATAAGAATTTTAACGTTATAACTAGTAATAGCCAAAGGTTACGGAGTGCGGGCGATAACGATCGAAGGTTTTGCTCCAGCGCTGTGCTTTGCGTACGTTTCACGTGACAGATGGTCAAAACACGCGTGATAAGATTACGAGTGATAGAAGGTCCAAACGCACGTGATCAAATTGTGTTCTGTGCATTCCATTCATTCTTAGTGGAAGTCCAAACGAAAGCTGACTACATACATTGGATGGGTGCGTAATAACAACCTTGACATTAGGATTGCGGGCTCCTCTTGTCGCCCGCAGCAACAAAAAAACACTCTCGTAAGAACGCAGTAAAGCAGTACTGAGCACATATTTTCTTTGGTTAATAGTTCTCAGTGACAATGGCATTTTTTTAATGGCCAGTTCCGTTTATCTAATAGTAAATACTTTTCTAGCCGAACTACTACATCTAAAATTCAGTTTGACAGTGACGTGAAAGCCATGGAGATTAAATTAAATGGCAGAGGTTGGTTTCCGCAGGTCACGTGATTTTACACTCTTTACCTCTTATTGGCCATAATTTGTTGTTGGTATATTACCAGTTTGAGTATAAAGGTAACTTTTACAAATACGGCCTTTATTACACTTAGGTCCTAATGTTATTACAGATAGGACCTTTATTACGCTTGGGCTCAAAATGTTATTACGGATGAGACTTTTATTACGCTTGGGTCCAAATGTTATTACAGATGGGACCTTTATTACACTTGGGTCCAATTATTACACTTGTGCCTTCTACATGGTCCGCTGAATTGAGAAGACGCGAACATACACACACAAAAAAAAAACAAGAAAGAAAGAAAGAAAGAAGTCAAAAACGGGAGGAAAATGGGGAGAGGAAGGGCGGCGGAGCCTATAATCTCTGCTAACTTTTCACATGCCTTACACTTTCGCGTCAGTTTTCCCCCATTATCTCTAAGCCTGGAACAGGCTATTTAACAATCGGATAGCGTTTCCTTCTTCAAGACGAGTTGTAATTAGGTATTACAGATTAATTATTCAAATATTTTCCGTTGCTATTTGCAGGTATGAAATGATGCGTTTATGTTGGTTAGAAAACCCTTTTATGAGACCCACATTTGCTGAAATAACGAAGCGATTCCAGTATTATTTACGAGAATATAAGGTGCTGTCTTGAGTCTCCCTTTGTTTAATCCATTAAATACTGTAAAGTGAAATCACTGAACAAATTTATTGCTACTCCAAGAAAAGCCAATTTCGGTTCCTGTCAAAAATTATTGGTTCATTACTATTTATCAGCCACAAAAAAGGGAAAGCCGCTGTCGCTGACTTTCACAGGACCAAAAACAAACAAGAATCCGTAAACTTAACGTGGCGGAAAGAAGCGACTCCGTTGCGGTGAACCCAAGAGGGCGGAATGTCTAATATAAACAGTATTACGACACATTTGTTTGTTTGTTTGCTTATATTTATTTGGTTACACCCAATTTAGAGAAATTATGTGAATGTAACCGACGGTGGCTCAGAAAAGGACCCAGAAGTCTCGTTATTGGATGGGATTTCCTTGACCAAAACTACGACGGTTTGACATCTGGATCAGCATGCTACGAGGCAGTTCTTAGTATTGGTAGAAGTGGAACATTTATCAAACACCTGCAAGATCACATTATATAAATTATGGTCAAAAGATTGAAAAGATACTGATACCCACACCACAACACACAAGCTAACCATAAGTGGTTTCTGCAACACGAAGAAACTTAACCGCATTATTTTATTGCGATCTAAAAGTCGCAATTTTGCTTAATTAAGATGACCAGTATGGATTATGTTTCTACTCCTAGTGCGCAATTTTTGACCGGGTTTGTAAAATCGTTATAACCTCTCTCAGCTGAAGTCGCTGTTCCTGATCGTCCATTTAATTATTGTCATTAACAATATCCAAAGTAGCCATTCTGAACGTTAATAGTGCAGCCATTCTCTTTTTCCTTTTTCCTTCTTCTTTTGCTCTGTGTTACCTTTACTTGCTCTAACGTGATTTTTGGGCTTGAAAATGTCGGGATTTGGCCTTTTTCCCCATGTTCGGTTAAAAAATGGCTATTGATTGTTTTCAGTAGGCCCATTTCTGAAAATCGAGTCGTTTTGGATTTTATATCATTAACGTTGATTATGTTGTTATTATAGATGGTTTTCACAGTGAATTCATCCAATTGTAAAGTCAGAATAGCGAGGTTTTACGAATTCTCATTTACATTAGGTTGAAGATAAACAAAAATTAAATCTTTGTACAAGTTTCCAATCCCGTAGCATGTTTCCGAGTCTTCACAGTGCGTGATATCAAAATAGGAATGTTGTCTCGTTGAAAAAAAGCCTCTCCTCCCGATTTTTCAGCAGTATAACCATTTTAAGTACTAGAAGATATGTTTATGCGCACGTATGCTAGTTCTCGCGAGTGAACAGAAAGAGCTTTTATAGAAAAAGTGAACTCCAAATGTTTTTGTTGATTTCCGGTGGCCATATTAGTGGACCAAAACGGTCCACCAATATGGTGTCTCCATACAAAGATCTACAAAATTGCGTGGAACGTTTCGGCAAATAACTCAGAAACTGTGTTTATATATAAGTCTTTTACAACATTTCATTTTCTTGGCTCCTTCCACTGGACGGTTTCTAATTTATTTTTTTGTTGCGTGACAGTGAAAACGATCGATTGTTTAAATTTATTTCTCTGTGGGTGTTTCTCCTTATTACATAGTATTATGTGTTACGTAAAACATGTTTGCTTAACTAAGTTAACTAGTATGGATTATGTAAAATAGTAAAATTTATCTTTAAAATGATCTTAACTGAATGAAAACCTACGAAACTCACCTACAACAAAATAAATAACAGTAACTGCTTCAAACTTTGTAGTGAATAGACAACATATTAAATTTTTATTAAGTATTTTAGTATTGTAAATATTCACTTTTTTAGCGTCTTAATAGTATATTTTATGAAGTGTCCCCAATTAGCCCTATTTAGGCCAATTTTTTTTCAACTTTGCATGCCAAAAAATTACGTCACATTTTTCTCCTTTTTTTTCGTTCCCAGGCCCCGAAATCGTGACCCAAAATCATGTCGATAATTGTTAATTTTTAGCTAGCGAAAAACAAAACTAGCCAAAGTTTACGATTACTTTCTCTAAATGTACGGTTATATTTACGATATTTATTAATTACCCTATCTGGAAGTCGTAAAATGCGTTGGGAAAGTGAAAATAACCATGTAAATCGGGCTTCGAAGTCGTCGAACTCGAAAGAAACCGTGACAGTACAGGCATTGACCGCTCGGCTTAAACACGATCATCACTTCAAGCGGCCTTATCGTTTAAAACATGCGTATTTGAAATGTATATGTACGGGTTGATATGGAAAGCCTGGGATCTAATTAACATTTAAGCCCCAAATTCGTAAAATTCGTACGTGTTCGAGCGAAAAATATATGTAGATTGGCGTTTGAAAAGTACTCCTTCACAAATGTTGGCAATTTTGGGGAGCGCCCGGCCCTTCTTGTAATTTGTAATATCTAGAATTAGCCACAGCTAAAAGCGAAGCTCTCATTGATAAATTTATAACTTAAATCAAACAATAATTTTGTATTCCACAAATCAGTTAACTTAAGATGTGACTTTTGAGGGAAAAGCTAAGTGATTTTGGAGTGAAACAAATCTTGTATCGAGTTGATATAGCCTTATATGTACACCCAAAAAATAGTCTTCGGTCACATTTAAGAGCAATAATGGCTCTTGATCACAGTAGATAAGGCGTGGAAAACAAATTCTTGGAGAACAAATCAGGCCGAATGTTTTGCGTTCGACAAGTTTACAAATTCTTGCCAATAAATCTGGGTGCGCGTAAACCATTCTTTTTTTTTATACACCACATCTGAGGAGAAAGAGTACTATGAGGCGCTGTTTTTATCATACAGACCTCTGTACAAAATGCAGTATTTCACAATTTTTCAATACGCAGGACCATCGAAGTACGCGCGGACTTTTAATTAGCGAAACCGTTCAAAAAATGTCCAAAATCACCTATACGGCCAGCCGGTTCTAACTTTTGACAAGCGCCAGATTTGCGAAGAAATTTTAAAAGAGTTACGCTTCAACGTGATAAAGAATTTATTGAGTCTATTTTTTATTAATGGTTTTATAAGGATGTGTAATCTTAAAAAGCGTTTGATACGCTCGGCATTTTGAGCACTCCTGCAAGCGATGTTTATGAACGCCTGAAAACAAACGGCAAAGCGATGAAAATTACACTTATGAGAGTACCAACAATCAATAAAGAAATATAATTCGGTAGAACATTTACAGAGACAACATTTTTCATTCACGAAGACAAATGACTATTTAAGTGTCTCTAAGAATCCTCAAGTCTTTACTAGTAACCTTAAATATTAAGTTTATGTTTTAAGCCGCCGGTGTCCCGGTGTTTGCTTTTTTCAAAGATGAACTCACGACAAGAAAATCGCTCAAAGCTTTCTTTCTACAGCCAAAATTATAACTAAGTATTCTTCGGAAAGTTTTTTCTTTCTATTTATGGTGAATTAATATCGACTAAAGGTTTTTTAAAGTTCTGTAAGCTTAATCTTATATCAAACCTCATACTAGGTCAGATCAGTGTCTCAGTCAAATCTTAATACAAACGTGCATAAACTAGCTTCATAAACTGCGCCGCTGGACTTCATGAAATTAGATATAAATACAATAATTACTCAGGCTTACCATATTTCGAGATGCAGCTCCTGAAAACTATCAAGTAAGGCAATGATCGCTTGAGCCTTCATAATTTTCGTACGCATCCAGCAAGGTGAAAAACAAAAACGATGCCATCCGAAATCGGATTATCGGCTTTGACAAGCGACGCATTTCTCAACCAAAAACCAAATAAACAAACCAGCCATGAATAAGAGAACAGTCTTGATAGCAGCTGTATTTCATTTTTTACATCCAGTAGAAAAAGACAGTTAAAAACCTCACAAGTTGACTCAAACTCTGTCAGCTTCAGCTGTCAAAGTAAACAACTTTCAAGATGCTGCATAAATTTTACGCATGAACTCACCTGTCAAATTTTAACCAATCAGAGCATAAAAATTGGACGTGGAGCGTGACCAACAGGTGACCATGGTTAGAAAAGGTCTTCCCCGCCTGTATTTTAAAAAAAATGGCTGAATTTTTGCGTCTAAGGTCAGTTTGAAATCAAAATCGTAATAGTGCGGGGCGATACTGACATAAACACAACATATTTGATATGAATTAAAAAATAATAAACAACAGCCTGCGATCATTTGAAAACGAGTAAATTGTCAGCGGATAACTTCAAAAAATACTCGACCTTAATGGGTCGACAACTGAGCCCGCGATACGGCCAGGTGATACTGGTCAGCGGATACCCTGTTTTGACAGCTGTCAATTGATGACAACATTGATGTGCAATCAGCTTTCTCCTGGGCTCCCAAAGTAGCTTGAAAGTGTGAAAGTAAACATTGGTATGCCTTTGGTGCGGACGGACCGTCGGTCGGTCGGTCACGTGATTACCAAATTTTCTGGGATGGGTAGATTTACTTACCCATGGTGCTCCGCAGGCGCGCCAGAGCTCCACTATTACGTTTGTGTTGTGTTATGTAGAGGTCGTGCAAAACGACCAAGAAAGGAAGGATAACGGCGATAGTGGGAAATACAGCCACAAAGGATATCCATCATTTCGGGCCCAAATAAACAAGTAATCTTTGAATCTATAAATTTCAAATTTGTCGTAAATTTATTAAGTTGCGTCCGGTTTCATGTTCAGCAACTGATAAATGTTCTATATGTTTGTTGGCAGTAAACTTCTGTACGAATTGTACAATTGCAAATCTCCTCAACAAGATGCTGATGATCGTGACGAAGAACTGGATCCAGAGGAAAGCTTAGGCAAAACAAACTCCGTTTTAAGGATTCCTATGCAAAAAGTCGGACCGGAGTGTGGTATTCCTAATGTGATAATAAATCATAGACTTTGAGACGAACGTGGCTCTTTATTCCGCGATAAAAACCTTCCACGTGACCAAAATGCTTTTCGGCCGCCATTTTGTTTAGCCTTCTTCATCCAGCCCCATAGCCCGCTCATTCAAACTGCGCATGAGGAGAACCAATTTTTCAGTCTCAAGCAAATGTCTCCATCAAAGGGCTCAATTTTTTGCCATGGAAAATACACACGCGCTTGACATTTACAAAAACTAATATGCTACAGAAACATAACTACAATGCAGAGAAAATACTGACAGAAAAACCAACATGCTACAGAAACGCTACCTACTATACAGAGTAGCCTGGGACCAGGCTTGGCAGTGGGGGAAAAAGGCAAAAAAACGGGGTCAAATAGGAAAAATATCGGCGAGTGAAGTGAGCGGCGCGGTATCCTGGGGAGGTGGGATGGGCGGCGGAGCCTGGAGTCATGCCTTTGATGAAGCTGTTCAATGATACCAGATTCTGTTATCTAGCTCTGATTGGTCAAATGTCTTCATGTTGACATATTCGCGTTGCTGTTGACAGTATCGCGCTCTTTCAATATCACGCTCCTACAATTCGGGAAAAGATTTGTTTAAACACGGATTTCGAGCAAGCAATACAAATTTCTTTGCGAGACCTTTCACGTATCCTTTGGCTCCAAGAAGAGCAAAAAATATGCCTGTGATTTGTTGCAAAAAGAAAAAGAAGTATTCAAGATATGGAGATTTTCTTACACTATCCTGTGATAAACTACGCTCACATTTATAAAGCGATTGACAATAAACCGACGTTCAAAAGGTACAGTATTGTAATCACTCTCCTACCAAAAGCGTGATAAAACCCAAAAGTCAGTGGATGTAAGTAAAGAATGCATTTTGCGTACAGCTAAGCCTTGTGCTCTGAGAACTCGTAAACCAAAATTGTACGGAGATACCGCGTGAGCAGTATTTTCCCTCTTGCTTGGCTTTTACTTGTTTTAGCGTTTACGAAGTCCGCCTCGCGTGTCAGTCGTGTACTTAACAAACCGAATACGCAATACGATTTTGAGCAGACGGACCTTATAAAAGGGACGACAAATTCAACAGGAATACACTCAAACTGAATAGTCTGTCGTCTAAGGTGCTAAACTCATACATTTTTCCTCCGCGGAATATAAACTCTACCAAAAGCAATATTTCGTCTCTTACATTATAAGAACCTATGTCAACGAGCATTATAACGCGAACTGCGAACTTGAGGGATCTCCTTGAGAATCTATTCGACTCTTCTTCCCCGGTAGAACACGCCGCATTTTTCCTGAAACGTCTTTATTTCACTTTGCCGAAGCTGGTGTTACTCCAATCGGCGATCGAAGTTAAGTAGATCTCTTTGCTTGCACTATTAGTTCATCTCGAATTCAAATATTTTTTTTTTTTACAAAAGCGGCATAATTAGCTCACGCTGACATCCGTGATGAGAACTTGACGTGTTGACATTTCAATGACAAGTTAATTGCCGGAAGGCGGATCGACAGCATTAAAGACATAATGTCTCCAGGCTCTGCTACCCTTTCTCCTCCCCAGACTACCTCTCGGCTCGCTTCGCTCGCAGTTTTTTTTTTTCGCCATGCCGACTTTTTCTCATTTCCCCACAATGCGGAGCCTGGTCCCAGGCTAATACAGAGAAAATACTAAAAGAACTTAGTGACAGCCAACAACTTAGAAAGATATCCAATTCACTATTGGGCTAAATACTTTGACACTCTAATAAAGGAAAAATGGCGGGCGAGAGGATTGGCCTTCATTTTGGGTTAGTGTTAACATTTTTAGCTACATATCATACCAATGTTTAATACAGACTGACAAATCAAAAGAAATAAGGATAAAATACTAAAAAAGTGGTTAGAGAATAGGGCTTTGCACTAAAACAACAACTGGTTCTAGTCGGGGAGATTCGAGATTTTACCTACTTTCAAAGTTTTAAAGAACAAAATAACATTATAGGTGATCATATTTTCTGGTTGGCAGTATAATTTTTTGATAAAAAAAAAATCATTTTTTAAGTAGGGCAACCCCCAGACCCCTCTCATTTTGTTCGTCATCATGCTGACGATTACCTATGGCGTGAGCGGCAAAAAAATTGTTTTTGCTTCTTTTTGCGGGCCACATCCATGAGAAGAGGAATTTTTGTCTACTAGCTGAGGAGTTTCCATTTATTTTGCTCACTAATTCGTCTGTTGCAGAGGCTATCTATTTTAGACTAAGTAGTCAGGTAATTTTTATTTCCAAGACCTTTCAGTACTTTCATATGTCAATACCGCAGGCATCTTGTTATATAGCTAGTGGATCTGTCTGCCCTAGAATCTTGTTTCCCTTCAAGGTCCTTCACTAACATATATTATTAAAAACTGAATCATTGGATAATGCAATTCTAGCATTTTGATTGGCTTAGCCGTTATGGTATATGAGCTATTATACCATGCTCTCCATATATGGTCGGTGTACGCGTCAGTTTAAAATTGGAAGCTAGCTGAGATTTTTTTTTTTTCCGCGAAGGATAGAACGGTGCCCGAAGCAAATTGTTTTAATTCATTTCTTAGAATACAAGAAATGCAATTTCATCGAAAGAAAAAAGACAAAAACAAACAAAAAAGCCACAAGAGCTTGTTTGAAAGTGTGTCGAAAAACACATCAAAACACATGAAACTAAAGTACCTTGACCAGCTACGAAAGAAGGCAAGTGTTGTTTCTTCATGATCGCGAAGCCATTCGCCGATCGAGTCACTCGCCAACAGATAACTGCGGCTTGTTTATCCGACATCAAGAATATAAATCACAAGTAACCAGCTACAAATACAGGCTATGCAGCCATTCACTAAAGCAATCGAGGCGGCAGTATAGCTCCTTTTCTCGTTCAGCCGGAAAACCAGCTTGTGGCTTCAAACAACTTCATAACAAGCGACCGAGGTAAATAGTTTTTCTCCGTTGTTCTTACTTTTATAACTGCACCGAAAATCCAAATTCACAGTAATTTCGACGGCTGTCACTTAAAAATTCTTTTCCTTCACATTATCTGCCAGGTTTTGTTAGTTGTTCTGCTGTGTAAAATCCTAGAATCCCGATCAGTTTTTAAAAAAACTAATGTTCATCGCTACGATGTTTTGATTTTTCATTCATGCAGTCCAGGCGAGTCCGTTCGCGCGTTGACAGTTTTGATAGACGTGTGACATGTGAGTAGCGGAAGTCCCTTGTCTTTTCCGGTTTGTTCTAGTCGGGGAGATTCGAGATTTTACCTACTTTCAAAGTTTTAAAGAACAAAATAACATTATAGGTGATTATATTTTCTGGTTGGCAGTTTAATTTTTTGTTAAAAAAAAGTCATTTTTAAGTAGGGTAACCCCCTTTTACAAAGCATTTTCATAATATTTGCATGCTACAAATAGCCTCCTACAGTGTATTAGGTTACGGTTATTAACTATGCATATGTTATATTTGACAAATATTTCTTTGACATTTTCACATGGCCTCACAAGCGGCTAGCTTTTAAGACAACCGTGGATAAATGAAGCCGCCTCACAGTTTAACTAGCCGTTTATTTTTGTTACGAAATATCTTAAGAAAACATGCAGTTGGCACTAAAATATAAAGCAAGCTAAAGACAACCCACGCAGGTTGCCTCAGTTCTTCCGCAAAGTGGGCCAACAGAAAAATGAATAGTAATAATACTTGTAACACAAAAATATTAGTTACTGTATTTGTAGTTCGCGATAATTGTAGAAGCGTTTAATATTGTTCAGACTCTGAGGTGTATTGATGTCTGTTTGATTTGTATTCTGTTTTCGTTTCGTTTTTGGTTTGTTGAATTATTTGAAAGCGCATGTGGCAGATGGAGAGAACAGTTGATCGGTCTATAAATGGCTATCTTTAAAACAAGGAACGGGGAATCGGGGAATGGGAATAGGAATAGGAATAGGAATGGGGAACGGTGAAAGGGGAACAGGGAATCTTTAAAATGGGGAATCTTTAAAGGTAGGAATCTTTAAAACGGGGAATTTTTTAAAGCAGGAATCTTTAAAACGGGGAATCTTTAAAAGAGGGAATCTTTAAAATGGGGAATCTTTAAAACGGGGAATCTTTAAAATGACGAATCTTTAAAACGGGGAATCTTTTAAAGCAGGAATCTTTAAAACGGGGAATCTTTAAAAGAGGGAATCTTTAAAATGGGGAATCTTTAAAACGGGGAATCTTTAAAATGACGAATCTTTAAAACGGGGAATCTTTAAAATGACGAATCTTTAATATTTTTATATTTAGAACAAAAGGACACTGTTAAGTAAGTTGGACTAATGTAAGCTTTATTAATGATTCGAAGCCAAATATTCCAGCTATAGCCTGAATTTCATCCGATTACTTCGAGTCGTTATTACTCCCTCAGTAACGTCTGAATCGACCAGCCATTAATGCCGTCCAGTGACGTCACTACTCTTGACCTTTGTATTAATTCATGCAAAAAGTAAAACACGATTTTCAAGTGGCAAACCGAGAAATATCGTTTGGAAATGTCTGCATGATACAGAATTGCTTTATTTTTTTCGATTGTAATTTATGTTTAACGTTCAAATTATCAACTGCATGCAGTACAACTCTGAACCGGTTGTACTAAATTCTACTAATCAAACTCGGTCGCAACACGCAATGAAATAAACACACACACGGAACAGTTCAAAAACACAATATGATTTGCTCTAATTGAAAACAAGCTATTTGGTCCTTAACGAAGAAAATAACAAGGAGACACGAGAGGAAAGCTAACAGAATCATTACACTTGACGGTAAAAATAGCGAGAAGGTCGAATTATAACATTGATCTCAGAAAACTTCGCGTAAACAACATCACCGGCCGCCGAAACCACAAAGCGGCTCTAAATGAAAAACCTACCGACTCTCCGCAATGATTCTTCATTCGCAGTTCAATTTAGCATTTCAGTTTCGAAGACAAGGGCAATTGTGCTGTTTAAGATAAAGATTAAGCTTATCGAAATGTTCGAACTAAACAAAAGAATGCCGGGGATGCGATCCGCTGAATATCAAGTGACAATCCCGCTAAAATTTTCATAATTATACATAATTATGCGAATGTTTAGGCAATCAACCAATCAAAATCACTACCCGGTTTTCGGGAAGTGAGTGACGTCACTGGACGGCATTAACGGTCGATTCAGACGTTGTTGAGAGGAAAAAACGACTCGAAGCAATCGGATGAATTTCAGGTGTTGAGAGGAGAAAACGACTCGAAGCAATCGGATGAATTTCAGGCTACTCCAGCTAGTCATTTTTAGCACATTTTCTTGAATTCGAGAAAACCCATTTTNATCACCGGCCGCCGAAACCACAAAGCGGCTCTAAATGAAAAACCTACCGACTCTCCGCAATGATTCTTCATTCGCAGTTCAATTTAGCATTTCAGTTTCGAAGACAAGGGCAATTGTGCTGTTTAAGATAAAGATTAAGCTTATCGAAATGTTCGAACTAAACAAAAGAATGCCGGGGATGCGATCCGCTGAATATCAAGTGACAATCCCGCTAAAATTTTCATAATTATACATAATTATGCGAATGTTTAGGCAATCAACCAATCAAAATCACTACCCGGTTTTCGGGAAGTGAGTGACGTCACTGGACGGCATTAACGGTCGATTCAGACGTTGTTGAGAGGAAAAAACGACTCGAAGCAATCGGATGAATTTCAGGTGTTGAGAGGAGAAAACGACTCGAAGCAATCGGATGAATTTCAGGCTACTCCAGCTAGTCATTTTTAGCACATTTTCTTGAATTCGAGAAAACCCATTTTATGAAGGATTTTTACCCGGGGAATTTTAAAACCACGACAACATGAAGGTAAGTGAATTGCAAATTTAAAACAACGACGACATAAATATTATTTCAAATATCAGCTATGACATGTAAAAAATATAATAAATAAATTAATAATGACGTACCGTAAGATATGTTTCGGGCGACCTTCAATAACAGCAACAGTAACAGTAACAACAGCAATATATGTTTTCCTTTTTCTACATTAAATTGTCCCAAAGATAAATCCAGTTTTAGGTTTTTAACCACTACTATCGAAAACCATAAAAACCACTGCGAACGAACCTTGTCCAACCACATCTTGTTCCCCTAGTTCACTACATTTAAATTCTTGAAGGCCTTCAAAGAGAACGGTTCGCTTCTTCTTCAGCGTCAATGCCTAAGGCAATTTGAAATTTCCAGGAGACAACATGGCGTAGAAAGAGGTAAAACGAAGCACGTAGTGAGTAGTTAGTAGAATGGCATATCTGGCGCACTTTTCAAGTCAAAATAATCAGAAAATGACAGAAAATAATAAGATTCCTGAATATGCAAAAGACTTCAAAAAAGAATGGCTTTACATAAGAGGGATTAATAAGAAGTGTGGTGAGTTTATAGAATTTCTTGTAGAAAATACTGATTCTTTGGAAAAAGTTTTTTGGTCTTCAAGAGCAAGAACACTTATTAGTCACTTTAAAAATGTTTTGGAGGCTCAAAAAATGAGGAAACTTCAAAATATTAGTAAATTAGAGTTTAAATTAAGTGCTGTTAATAAAATAATTGATCTAAGATTTGAGCTATATTTTCATATGGGAAACACTTTTTATTCTGACTTTTTTACAGATGATGAATTTCAAGATTTTTTTGAGAATTTTATCATCTTTACTAATAATGTTAATATTAAATATGAAGAAGATTTTGAAAATGATATTAATGAAGAATATGTTGAGAAAGATGAAGAAAATGATAGTTTAAGTGAAAGTGAAAGTGAATTTATAAGAGAAAATCTAAGAGAAATTGAAAATGAAAGTGAAAGTGAAAGTGATTAAAAAAAAAAGCTTAAAGTCTTATAATCTAATTATAAGATTATAAGACGTCATGTCTAACCAAGCAAATGGTTCGTGGGGTAGTACACCCTTTGTAACAGATAAACAATTTAAGAATTTGTCTTTAGATGAAATAAAAAATATAATAGAAGTAGAAAAAGAAGGACTTAAGGAAGATTATAAGGAATTAGGATCAAGAAAAAGATTAATTAAACAATATAAAAAATTGGTAAAAGCTAGAGAAAAAGTTAGAAAAGGTATTGATATAAAAAAAGAATATAAGAAGAAAAAAAAGATAAAAACATTTGAAGAGTATTTTGAAGAATGTATAAAAAATAAAGAGATTCCACCAGATACTCCAGATTACTTACGTAGATCTCTTGAGCGAGCTATGTATGAACATGAGCAAGGAATTCAAATAGAAAAATCAGCTTTTAATAATCTTGCTGTTAAGTATGTTTTAGAGGGAATTCCTGGTATTTCTCCAATTGAATATTATAATAGAGTTTATGCTAGTTTATTAAATTTATTGAAGGAGCATAGAAATATTAAATTAAAAATGGTTATGGTTTGTATAATGGAAAGAGTTAAAGTTAAAACAAAAGAAGGAATTCAAGAATTAGAGGAGTTTAAAGCATATTTTAGTTCGAAAACTTATAAAAATTATGAATCATCAAATGAAGAAGAAATAGTAGTAAAATGTATGAAAAAAATTATAAATGATATAGAAGAGTTTTCCAAAAATGGAAGCGGGTGGTATTTTAAAGAAGTTTTAAGGCTTGATGTTAATACTATTAAGTTTAATCCGACCAAAGGATCGACTTATATTGATCTTCCATCTTGGATAAAAAATAAAAAAGCAATTGTTAACATTAAAAATAAAGATGACAAATGCTTTCTTTGGTGTATACTTAGATATCTTCATCCAAGAGAGAGAGATGAGGAAAGAATAAAAGATTTAGAAAAGTATGAGTTTTCACTTAACACTAAAGGAATTACTTTTCCAATGAAAGTAAATAATATTACTCAATTTGAAAAACTTAATCCTGATATTCCAGGAATAAATGTTTTTTCTGAAGATGGTATGATTATTTATCCTTTGAGAGAGGCAAATAGAGATTGTAAAAATACTATTGATTTATTTTTGTACGAAGAAGATGGTGTTTCACATTATACTCTTATTAAAAATTTTCACAGGTTAGTAAGGTCACAAAAAACTGTAAGTAGTAATGGTAAAATATTTATTTGTAAGAGATGTTTTACTCATTACACTAAAGAAGAATTATTAGAAAAACATATTAAATATTGTTCAAATAATGCAACATCGATTGTAAAAATGCCTGAACCAAACACAATGTTATACTTTAAAAATTATCACAAAAGATTTCCTGTTCCTTTTGTAGTTTATGCTGATTTTGAATGCTTTACTAAGCCAATGAATAGTTGCAGTCCTAATCCAAAAGACTCTTATAATTACAACTATCAAAAACATGAACCATCAGGATTTTGTTTTTATGTAAAGGGAATAATAGATAAAAATATTAAACCAATCTTTTATACAAAAACCTCCGAAGATGAGGATATATCAAAAGTATTTGTAGAAAAACTTGTAGAAGTAACTAAAGAAATTTATAATAATTTTTATCAAAGACCAAAACCTCTTGGACTAACTAGTGCAGATCAAAAGTTATTTGATTCTGAAGTTAACTGTCATATTTGTGGTGGAGAATTAAAAGAGGATAAAGTTAGAGATCATTGTCATTTTACAGGTCAGTATCGTGGAGCAGCGCATAACAAATGTAATCTTATGTGTCGTAAACCAAAATTATTACCAGTTATATTTCACAATCTTCAAGGTTATGATGCTCATCTGTTTATAAAACAAATTGCTAGATTAGAAGGAAAAATAAATTGTATTCCATCTACGGAAGAAAAATATATTTCATTTTCAAAAAATATTAAAGTTGGTGAGTATTATTGTTCAAAATTTGGAAAAATGATTGATGTAAATTTTGAAATACGATTTTTAGATTCATTTAAGTTTCTTCAAACATCACTTGCCAATCTTGTTTCAAATCTATCAGCAGATGATTTTCATAACACAAAACATGTATTCAAGAAAAATGTAGATCTACTAACTCGTAAGGGAGTTTATCCTTATGATTATGTTTCATCACTTGATAAATTATCAGAAACACAACTTCCACCCAAAGAGGATTTCTATTCAAAACTAAATGATGAAGATATTAGTGATGATGATTACCATCATGCAATTAAAGTATGGAATACTTTTGGATGTAAAACAATAAGAGATTATCACGATCTTTATCTGAAATCTGATGTACTACTACTAGCAGATGTACTTGAAAACTTTAGGAAAACTTGTCTCTGCCATTACAGCCTAGATCCAGTTCACTATTACACATCTCCAGGTCTAGCTTGGGATGCATGTCTAAAAGAAACAGGTCAACAATTACAGTTACTACATGATTATGATATGTTAATGATGATTGAGCGTGGAATACGAGGAGGTATAACTCATATATCAAAGCGATATGCAGAAGCAAATAATAAATACATGGAAAATTATAATCCTGATGAGGAGTCCTCCTTTATTCAATATCTAGATGCGAATAATCTTTATGGATGGGCGATGACACAAAATCTTCCAACACATGGATTTAAATGGATGGAAAATATAACAAAAGAAAAGGTAATGGATATTCTTGAGAAAGCAAATCATAGTATGTCAAATTTTGGGAGTAAAGGTTATATATTTGAAGTAGATCTGGAGTATCCTGAAAAACTATGGACATCACATAATGACTATCCTCTAGCACCTGAGAGAATAATTGTTAATGGTGTGGAAAAATTATTTTGTTATTTTAAACCCCGAAAGCATTATGTTGTGCATTACCGAAATCTTAGACAGTATCTTGAGTTGGGTATGAGGCTTACTGCTGTTCATAGAGGAGTATCATTTTATCAGTCTCCTTGGATGGAACCATATATCCGAAAAAATACAGAACTTCGAAAAGTAGCAGCTAACAGTTTTGAGAAAGACTTTTTCAAATTAATGAATAACTCAGTTTTTGGCAAAACAATAGAAAATATAAGGAAGCGACAAAATATAGAACTTGTTAATAATCGTGAGAGAGCTGTCAAACTAGCAAATCGGCCAAACTTTGATAGAGCGACAATATTTGATCGCAATTTTATAGCAGTTCATATGCTAAATACTGAAGTGTATTTTAATAAACCAGTATATGTTGGTCAAGCAATTCTAGATTTATCAAAAACACTAATGTTTAATTTTCATTATACTTACATACGAGAAAAATATGGAAACAAGGCTGAGTTATTGTTTGCAGATACGGATTCATTGATGTATCAAATTAAAACAAAAGATTTTTATAAAGATATAAGTTTTGATATTTTAACAAAGTTTGACACTTCAGATTATCCTCCTAATCATCCTTCTGGAATACTAACAGGAGCTAATAAAAAAGTTATTGGAATGTTTAAAGATGAAGTAGCAGGAAAACAGATAACTCATTTTGTTGGGCTGCGACCCAAAATTTATAGTTTTAAAATTGAAGAGGATAGGGAAGGCAAAAAGTGTAAAGGAGTAAAGAAAAATGTTGTAAAAAAGACAATGGATTTTGAAGATTATGTTAAATGTTTATTTTCAGGTGAGAAAGAAATGAGAAGTATGAAAATAATAAGAAGTGAAAAACATGATATATATTCTAAAGAAGTTAACAAAATAGCTCTAAGTAATGAAGATGATAAACGCATTGTTTTAGAGGATAAAGTGCATACTTTGGCTTTTAGATAAAAAAATATTTAAAAGTAGTAAAATATTAAATAATAAATGTCTTATACAGAGGAGGAAATAAAAAAATATTTAGATATACTTCATAATTATAAAAAACCACCTATTCAACAAGTTAGTAAAAAAGCACAATGTTTAAATTGTCCAAATACTGAATTTTTTACAATAGATTCTGGCCTCAAAATTTGTGAAAAATGTGGTGCAGACAACGGTCATGTATTAGGATTATTTGATGTAAAAGATTTGGATAGGTTACATTATAGAAAAAAGAGTATTTACCATAGGAAATATCACTATGAGAAAAAGGTAAATGAAATTTCTAAAAGAATAAACCTAACTGATGAAGAAAAATGTGAACTTTACGATAAACTAACAAAAATAGATAATCATATCATGGAAATACTAAACAAGCAATACTTTAGAAAGAGAATGATAAATATTAATTATTTAACAAAAAAAATTTTGGAGGAGATGGGTTGTGAAAAGTATAAACTTATTGAACTTAAGATTAGTCCTCTAACTTTTGAGATTTATGAAGAATGGTGGAATTGTTATAAAGGTTTAAAGAAATAAAATACTATTAATAAAATGAAAATACAAATTAATCCTAGATCATTGTTAAATCTAGAACATATATGTGAAGTTTTATATAAACTTCATCCATCTGTTTTAAATTTCTTGGTTAAAATGGAAAGATCTTTAGGACCAGTACTTGGTTTTATAGACATGAAAAATTTAACACTAGAACAAAAAAAAATTTTAGATAGTATTTATAAGGGGGTAGATTACTCAAAGGAACCTGAGGAACCTAAGGAACCTGAGGAACAAAAGGAACTAATTAAAATAAAAGATGAGTTTGAAAAAAACCAATATATTACTCGTTTTCATAATCTAAGAAAATATATTCAACTAGATACTGATGAATACATTCCTATGAAAATTTATGTTGAAGTTGAAGATCCTGTAATAGGAAGAAAACTAAAAGAATTGGTTGAGGCACTTGAAAAAACTCATGCTCCAGAACAATTTTATTTAAATAAAAAAGAAATAGATGAAAATGCTTATTTTGCTGAGGGTTATGGTCTTACAATGAATGAGGAACAGAAAAAACAAATGAAAGAATTTTTTTATGGAAAAGATGTTGAAGGTCTTGAAAAACTTTTAAGAGAAAAAAAGTTATATCCATAATTTTTTATATTTTAAAAATATAAAAAGTTCAACCCCGCGAATCACGGGGGTCAGGTCCAAGGTAGATGGATTAAAAGGGGGTCGCAAATTGCGACCCTTGGAGGAAAACAAAAAAAATGTATAATTTGTTTAGATAGAAAATTAATAAAGGCTTAAAGAAAATAAAATTAACAAATTAAAATGCAAGAAAAAATATTTATTAACAATCAACTTGGAATTAAGTTTAAATCATACATTGATAATAAATTAAGGGTTTGGTTTCGAGCCAAAGAAGTAGCAACTATTTTGGGCTATAAAAAAACAGAACATGCTATAAAAAGACATGTTAGTGAAAACCATAAAAGAACTTTTCTTTTGAGCCAACCCGTCGATTCGACGGGTCAGGTATTTAAAAAATGTTGCCCCCCTGAAACGGGGGGTCAACAAAATGACACTAGAGGGAAATATTGTATATTTATCAACGAACCAGGTTTTTATGAATTAGTTTTTAGATCTAGGTTACCTGCTGCAAAATTTTTTCGTGAGTGGGTATTTACTAAGGTATTACCTTGTATTCGCAAATTTGGTTATTATAAATTGAGAGATACAAGAAGAAAACAAAGAGTTATAATTGATGGTGTAAAATACTACAAACACCCAGTGTTTTCTAATTATGCTGCAAATAAAGATGGAGATATTTACTCTCTTAAAAGAAAGAAAATAATAAATAAAAATAAAGATTCTAATGGTTATTTATTTTTTATTATTTGTAGTAAAAAACTAGAAAAACCAAAGAATTATCTTCAACACAGATTTGTTTATGAAGTTTTTAAAGGACCAATTCCACATGGTTTTGAAGTTGATCATATTTTTCCTGTGAAGAGTGATAATAGAATTAAAAATTTGCAACTACTCACTCATAAGCAAAATATTGAAAAAAGTAAAAATAAGGCAATAATTTCTACTTGTATTAAAGATGGAAAAGAAAGAAGATTTATATCTATCAAAAAAGCTTCAGATGAATTAAATATTCATGCTGGTAATATTTCAAATATTTGTTGTAAAAGAAAATCTTATAAAACAGCAACTTCAAAGAAAGATAATCAAAAATATACTTTTAGTTACTTATGATTAAATATTAATTTTAATATTTAATCTATATTAAATTTATTTTTATACTTCTCTACAAAGTTATCAGCACTTGATGGGCAATGATCAATTATTATTTCATCCAATATTTTAATACGATCTATAAATTCTTCCTTATTCCACTCATCACCTCTGAGTGCTGATCGTAATTCAACAAGAACTTTTTCATAAGTGGTATAAGCCATTTTTGTTGTTTCTATCTTTTTTTTAAAATCCTTCTTTTTTGCAACCCCACCCACTATTACTCCTGCACCGTTGATTACTCCAAGAATAATAGGATTTAGTGTCAACCCTCCTGTGATAGTGCCAATGGCAATAAGAGATAAACTAGAAATAGACAAAAAATTATCTAGAAATTTATAAGATTTATAAGATTTCTTATAACACCAATGTTTCTTATGGTAATGTTTATAAAGATCTCTTATAGTTTCTATTTGCTCTTCTGATAAAGATTTATCGATATGATTAAATTCAAAAATACTCTTTCTCTTACTACTATTTCTTTTCATTTATTCTTTACGTTACATAACTTCCATTTAACTTTTCTTGAAGCATTACTTTATGATATTGATCAGAGCCGATGTCGTAAAATTTTGGAGAGTACATTAATTTATTTAACACTCCATCTTCAGTTGTAAAATCAAACTGTTGTAAAAAGGATTTTTGAACGGCTGGTATAGTTAATGTTGAGCTGTAGTTACTTATTGAAACTTTTGTGACATTTGAATTAAAATCTTCTGCCAGCCATACAACAATCCTTTGTCCATTAAAACTACTTAGCATGGTAAAATTTTGAGTTGTTTTATTGACAGTTAAAGTTACTTTATTGTTTGATTTATTATAATCCAATTTTACTAAAATATTATTATTATCTGTATTTTTTTTAGTCAGGCTAAAACTTCTATTTCTCCAATGATAAAAAGAAATGCATAAACTATATTTTGTAATATAATTAGGAAGAGTAAAATGAACAGTATAACCTTTCACATTTATGCCATTATTTGTTATATCAGTTAGGTTTCTATTGGGAAGTGTAATATTAGGTTTTAAAGAATTGAAAATAACACCAGATACACCTTTACTTAATCCATACAAATCCGCATCACTAAAGTCATAAAATTCACTAAAGTATAATCTATACAAAGCATTTTTAGTGTGAGGAGCTAGTTCTTTTACAAATGCAACTGTTGCAGCACTATTATTACTGTTTCGGTCAAGTTTGATATTTTTAATTTCTTTTTGATTTGCATTTATATCAACATTATACACTACTTCTGTTGGTTTGATGTCAAATGCGGTGTGATAATCGTAAACTTTATCTGGATCAATATTACTAAATGTACCAATAATACCATAAGCAACCAGGTAAACTCCTGAAAACTGATTTGGATACGTAGCCAGGTTATATCCACCTTGAAGAATATCAACCAAAATGTGAAGAAAGAACCTTTTACCAGATGTCAACTTTCGAAAATTAACTATCATTCTATGGTAGTACATTGTACTTGATTTCCCTTGTGTATTAGTATAACTATGGGACAACTTTTTTACACTTACATTTCCAATTGATAATCCTTTTGAAGTTCCTTTGTCAACACTTATTTTAGTATTATTCCAAAGATTATAATCAGTGTTGAGTATTTCCAAACACAATGTGTAATCAGTATTTGCAGTTAGTCTGAAAAAATTAATTCCCATCTTATAAATATATTTACCTTGAGAATTTTTGATTATAGACATGTAAATAACTTTGTGATTATAGTCGTGAAAGTTTCCTTTGTTTGGTGCTAAATCTCCTATACTTCTTATACCAAAACTATTTCCGCCATCTATTTCATCAGTCCATTGAGAGCCACTTGACATGAGATAAGCAAACTCATTTTTGTAATGACTTGGTTGAACTGCAGTAAGATGAACTAGATTGTCGACATAACCTTTGTTTACTGCTTCATTGTCTTGGGTTGGTACACCCAGATTCTTTATTTTATTATCACCAAGGTCGACATCAGCTTTTATAACCCCACTTAATACAATTTTAGGTGTGTTGATTTCTATTCTCTTAAGTGGTTTGGTTATCGCTTTTGGTAAATCAGTGAATAACCGACAAGTGATAGCTGTGTGATTTGGATTGTTACGGGTTCTTAGTTTTACTCCTGACATATCATAACTCCAAGACTTGTGAATAATTAATGACCAAGTGCCAGTGCGATTTCCACTTATCCAAAACTTAGAATTGGAGTGGGAAATGTCTCTAGGAATAAACCATAAAAAGTCAACGTTTACGTTCCGCGAACCAAATTGAAATTCTATTTTGTTAATGTATGTGTTAGCAGTTGGTGTCCAACCTACAAGAGGTTGACCAGGTGCTGATGTTGTAAAAAAAAAATCATCAAATGATGAACCTGAGACAAACTGTAGATACAAAGTCGTTGGTGTATCTGGATCTGTTATAGTAAATACACCACTTGAGGCGTCTCCAGAATGATGATCAAGGCGGTTTATTTGTTTACGTACCCATCCGCGATTAGCAGCTTGTTTATCTGTGGTGGGGTCCTCGAGGTTAACTATTTTATTGTTGTTAAGATTTAAGTTTCCAGTCATTGCAACAGTACCATCTTTTTCCAAGCAATCAGACAGGTCTGGACTTCCTCCACTATTATCATCTACATATTTCTTTGTTGCGGCGTCTGTGTTTGACACTGGAGTTGCAAGACCAACTATTTTATTATTACCAACATTAAGGTTACCAGTCATTGCTTCTGTTCCATCTTTTTTTAACCTCATATTTAAACGGTGATCCACATAAACTTTTGTAGCTGCATCAGAATTACTTTGTGGTTGACCTAAACCTTCAATAAGATTGTTACCCATATTTATGTTACCATTCATTGAATTTGTTCCATTTATTCTAAGAGAGTTTTTATCTACATAACCTTTTGTAGCAGCATTATGAGAATTTGTAGGATCTTCTAAAAATTTAATTTGATTATAATTTTTAGGACTAGGTGTTCCCATTTTAAGTGGGCCTGTCATTGCAACACTACCATCTTTTTTCAAATAATTAGATAGGTCACTACTTCCACCAGAAGAAGATATATCATCGACATACTTTTTGGTTGCAGCATCTGTGGAGGCTGTTGGTGGTCTAAGGTTAATTATTTTTTTATTATCCATGTTTAGATTATTAGTCATTTTATTTGTTCCAGCAACGTGTAGATACTTCATATCTGTGAAAGCTAATGGTGTTGGTTGATTGGAACCTGTTGGAGCAGGAAGATTTAATATTCGATTGTTGTCCATATTAAGATTTCCTTTCATTGGGTAAGATCCATCTGTGTCAAGAAATGTGTTGTCTACGTAATATTTTGTTGCTGGATCTTTAGAATCCTGTGGTGTTTTAAGATTTTTAATTCTATAACTATCATTCATATCAATGTCTGAATCAACTGTTAAATTTGATGTTTTTGGTGAACCACTGGAATTATCATCAACATACTTTTTTGTAGCAGCATCAGTATTAGCACTAGGTGCTCCTACATTTCTTAGTTTTTTATTTATCATATCATAATCACCACTTGAAGTGAGATTAAATCCAACTCCTGGTGCTCCTTGTACTCCCCTAGCAAAGGGATGATCTAAAGATTGTTCGTTAAATATACCCATTTTAATTATTGTTTACATAATTCATCTATTCTATCATTAAGACGAGTAAAGAGTCTATCAACATATTCTTTATTTACTGCGTCGAAGTTTGAGAGTGGTTCTTTAATATTAACTATCTTATTGCCACCAAGATCAAAATCTCTAATTATACTAACTGTTTTTTTTGTTACAGGTTGCTCCATTTTATTTGTTGTTTAGATAATCTGTAAAGTTTCTTGCAATACGTTTTCTTGGTTTATCAACATATAGAAATGAATACGGTTTTTTAGTTGCTGATTTATAGTCTTCTTTACTAACCCCCAACTCAGATGATATTCTATTAGACTCCCTCGATGATGGAAATTCATATAAACAGTAATGAGAACAATTCAGCCGAATATCTTTTGGTGTTTTATAAAACGATTGACTGAGGTACACCACCGAACAATTTTTATGTCGTCCTTGAATAAAATAATCAATCAGTTGTCTCTGGTTTTTATCACAAACATAGTCATCGAATATTACAAGTTTTTGATTGTCTTCGTAATCCATTTCTGACACTGGGATTATTTCATCATTACTAACATGAAGTATGTCATATCCCAGTTTATGACTTAACTCTCTCATTTTTTGAATTAGCTTTTGATACTTATCCTGTTCTAAATTACGAGCGTAAAGATAAATTTCATCATAGTATAGTAGAGGTTTAATTAACATGTGATATAAAAGATTAGTTTTACCACTTCCACTGTTTCCACATATTAACATCCGAAATGTATCTGATGGCATGTAAGGAAATAACTGTTTATATTTTTTATCTGGGTTGTCACCACTATCATAGTTTGGTATTTCCATTTATCTAAAGAATATATAAATGAATATTGAAGAATACAAAAAACTTGCAAGAAATAAGATTGAAGCTGATGCTTTGACTCAACAGGTGAGAGACACCATAAAAATAACAAAATGGGAAAAACAAGATGCTCGGGAAGGTTTCAGAGAGACATTTAAACCACTTATTAAATCTCAAGATAGCATTAAAAAAAGTATTGATGAACAGCAAAACGCAAATATAGCACAACTTAAAAAAAATCAACTTGCTCTTACTCAAGGTTTTGAACAGTTTAATCGGTTAGCTGATATGAGAGAATTACCATATGTTGGAGAAGATTTGGGTGATTATGATAATGAAGAAGGTTGGGATAAAAGTTGGTTACCAGGTAGAAGTTCTAAAAAAGATAGTTATTTAAATTTAGAAAAAAACTTTGACGGTAACGATCTAGGTTTATTAAAAGAATATGGATACCCAAGACCAAATGATTTTTTTGAAATTAATCCTAATGATTTAGAACTATTTTTATTTGATTTAACAGGTAATATAAGACAACTAACTGGTGAAATTAGTGGTAGAAAGAAAGCTAAAAATCCATCTCCACTGTATGAAACTGAAACTGAAATTAAAAAAATGGAAAAAGGAATACTAATGAAATATAAAAATACTATGAAAGATTATTTAAGTTCTCTTAAATATAAGGTAGGAGAAGGTATTTACTTTAACAACCCACATCAACTTCTAGACAGACTTGAATTACTTGGTGGTTCAATTCTTGCTGGTAATAATGGTGTAATACCTGAGTTTTCTTTAATCGCACATCTTCTCAACCAAATGAAAGTAATCTCAAAAAAACAACTGAATGATTTACTAAAAAGTTATATACCTATTATATAAAAAAATGGAAGAACGAGCTATTCACATTTCCTCAATAAATAGAGAAAAAAGAGGTACAAACAGACCTGGTGATTTTAATATCAAGTTTAATCCAACTCTTAAACTTGACCCTGAAAAGAAACATCAACTTGCTCTTGATCGACTGTCCATGACTTATTCTTGGTACAACATTAGAAGTGATTAAGGAAACAATAAAATCAAATACACTCATGATGGATCTACCTGGCAAACAATTACTTTTACAGATGGAATGTACTCCTACTCAGATATTAATGATTACCTTCATCAATATATGACACAAAAGTCTCATCACTCAACAGATTCAAGTGGAAAAAAGGTGTATTCAATAAATCTAACTTTTATACTATCTACCTATCGAGTTCTCATATCACTTGATGGTGATTATCAACTTGATCTGAGAGGAACAGATTTTGGAGACCTAATTGGATTTGAAAAGAAACTTATTACAAAAACAGAGTATGGCACAAAACTACCAAATATCACAAATTCAATTGATGTACTAAATATAAACACAACAGCAATAACTAATAGTATTGTAAATGGAATAAATACAAATACTATTGCTGTAATACCAACAGACAATCTCACAAGGTCTTTTCCATTTACTTTTGAACCTAAAAGACCATTGTATTGTGATGTCTCTTCATTTCACATAGATGAAATGAGAATCTATGTTACAGACTCACTTGGAAGACCAGTAAATTTTAACGGTATAGATTGGTTTATGACTTTGATACTTCACTCGATGTAATATAACTATTAAAATAAAATGATGCGACAATCGGAGTTTAAAATGAAACTTGACCCTGAATTGGGTCGATATACAAGACAACATATTTATGGAGAAGGTTTAACAGATGTTTTTAAATCTTTTGGTAAAAAAATATTTGGAAAGACAATGAAAAAAGCTGCTAAAAAAAGTGGTGAAAAAGTACTAACAATGGCTGCAACAAAAACTGGTGAACATGCTGGTAAAAAGGCTGGTGATAAAATAGTGCAAATGTTATCCAACGGGGAGGTAAAATCCGCCCAAAAACCCCCTGCAAAAAAAGTTACTTTTAATAAAAATGTTGAAAAAATAAGTCAACAAGAGATAGATCAAACATTAAATAACCTTCTTAGTGGAGGCTCAACACGTAAGAAAAAATTATATAATTATTAAAATAAAATGAAGTCTTTTAGAAATCCAAAATATTTAGATAGATATGAGGATGTTGTATTTGACCTGGAACAGTCTCTAGATACAGCTCCAGCAAATGATGCGCACCAAACTAAAACAGGTCTTAGATTTGTTGCTGATAATACAGGAGAAACTACTCCTTTTGATTGGTATAACGCAAGGCTGTCAATGGATTTTAAAGTAAATAAGTTGGCAGATGGAGGAAATTTAGCGCTTCAAGACCATAACGGAATTGTAAATGGTAGTAACTCATTTATAGAAAAATTAAGTATCATAGCAAATGGCCGAGAAGTTTATAGTTGTAATTATGCAAATCATGTTGTAAATATTAAAAATCTTCTTGAGTATAATCCTTCATATGCACAAAGTGTTGCTACAAACGAATTTTATTTTCTTGATACATCAACATCTGCAGAGGAAAGACCTGCTCAAGTAGCAACTTATAATAAAGGTTTTGCTGCAAGAAAATTACTGCTAGGTACATCAGCCACAGTAAACTGTGAAATTCCTCTTAATAGATATTCTTTCTTTGAAGCATTGGAAGATAAATTACTTCCAAATACAAAAATTGAGCTAAATATTGAAATTGAAAAAGATGCAAATTTAATTTTTCAAGCCGCTGATGATTGCAGAGTTATTATAACAAGACTACAACTTTTTATTCCAAAACTTACGTTTAATTCAGAAGGGCAAAAGTTGTATATGGAAAATTATCTTAAACCTTACAAATGGACGTATTTGAATGAAGTAGTAGAGCGATCAAATAATTCACAGCAACAGACAGGACATTTTAGAATTACAAATGCTATTTCAAAACCAAGACATGTATTTGTTTTTGGAATTAACACAGCAAGAATTGATTCACAAACAGCAAATCCATTTTTATACAACACTTTTAATTTACCAAATAATGCTAATATAAGAGATTGCTACCTGGAAGTTGCAAATGGAAACGAATACCCAAATATTCATTTTAAACCTTCTACAGATATGTCAAGAGTTTTTAGAAATGTAATGTCATTTGTCTATGCAAATAATGATTATCAAGGTGGAACATTACTTAATATAACTACTTTCAAAACTTTATTTCCTTTTGTTTATTTTGACCTAACAAAACAAAAAATGGATATTAAAGATGGTGTTACAAAACTAGCATTTCATTACGAACTAACCGCTAATCCAAACGCTGATTATAATATTTACGCATTAGTCTTACATGAAAGAATAGCAGAAATATCACAACAGGATGGAAAACTATTGCTTCGTGCTTAATCTAAAAATAAAATAAAAAATGGCAAATCCTTTTGATATTTATCCACCAGTAACTTTAGAAAAATATCCTTTTTTAAAAGAAAATAAATACTTTGAATATGTTTTAAATTTAACTCCATCACAAATAAAAGATTTTGGAAAAAACAATATTATAACTTTAGACTTTACATCTAATAAAGAACCTTATAAAGTTTTTCTTACAAATACCCAAATTAAAAAAGTAGAAGTTGCAAAAAAACTTAATAAAAAAGTTGATTTAAAATTCAGTAAAACTCAGTTTAAAAAAACTTTGCCTTATGTTACTAGTTTAAATCATTCGCTGATAAAGCAACGAGCTAAAGATCGACTTGAGATTTTAAAAACAGAAAATGCTAGAAAGGCCAAAAAATTAAATAAATTAAAGCTACAAGACCGACTAGAGACTTTAAAAACAGAAAATGCTAAGAAAGAAAAAAAATTAAAGCTACAAAACCGACTTGAAACTTTAAAAAAAAAAAAGGCTGAGAAATTAAAGTCTTTGAATACTAAACGAAATAAACTTAATATTTATAATTTTGTTAATAACACGCTAAAAAAAATACATAAACCTAAACCTAAACCTAACAAAAAAATTAGCGACTTATGGAGTAAATATCTTGTAGAAAGGCGAAAATATTACGTATAGAGGCCCAAAATAATATAAACACTTTAATAAAAATGGCAACTACTTATATTGAATATGGAGTAAAACTTACAGATGGCCAAAAGTCAAAACTGGCTTCTGCCATATTAAATAAATCACCACTAACTCTTCGATTAAAACACTCACATCTTCGTGGGTCTGATGAGTTAATGCTAACCAGCAGACAAATTAATAAAATAAAAAAATCTATTGAAAATGGAACAGGATCAGATATAAAAATAAGTCGTACACAGATTAGACGTTCTGTAAAACATGGTGGAAACTTATTTTCATCACTCGCATCTCTTGGAGCGCGAGTACTACCATATGCAGTAAAAGGAATTTCAAAAGTTGCTCCTGCATTAGCAACTGGTGCTGCTACTGCACTTGGAGAAATTGGATTAAATAAAATATTTGGAAAAGGAATCACAATTCCACAAAAGTTTATCCCAATGTTACCAAGTATTAAAGGAGAATTAACCAAATCACAAATAGACTTAATAAATAAAGTTTATCAATCTGGTGGGCGATTAGTTATAAAACCAACTCGCAGGCAGATAGAAGGAGGATTTCTTGGAACTCCTGCATCAATTGGAATTCCAATGGCAATTAGCCTGGTATCTAAAATGTTTGGATCTGGACTGCAGGTTGATAGACGTGGATCATCTAATACAGCAAATGTATACGTTCCACATCCTCCTCCCCCACCAACACATGGTGAAGGTTATCCTTATTACCCACCACCCTTTATTGGTACATGGTCCAACCCAATTGGAATGGGGGTTAAAAAAAAAAAGCCCAAATCCAGGGGAAAAGGACTACTACTAGGAAAAAACAGCCCATTCAACTCAATTTCCATTCTCGGCACCATTTTGTAATTAAACCTCTATCCAACTTTGACCTCATGGAATGGATAAAGAAACTTGGTATTAAACATTTCAGAGGAATTTACAGTAGGAATGGGCTACCAAACAGAATAAAAAAAGAATGTGGAATAATCAATCTAGATGATATGAAAGGTCCTGGAACACACTGGGTTTGTTATAGAAATATAGACAATGTAGTTGAGTACTTTGATCCATTTGGGTTGATAATGCCAAATGAAGCAGTAAAGTATTTTCATACTTCTGGAAAACGTATAGTTTACTCAATGGATGAAATACAAAATCGTAGTACTGTTTTCTGCGGTTATTGGTGTCTGTATTATCTCTACGAGAGACAGCGGGGTAGTAGTATTTTAGATGTAATACATAACCCACATTTTGATGATGAAAACAGTGATTTTATAAAAGCATACTTTGGGGGGTAGTATATTTTTGATATTAAAATTAATATCAAAAATTAAATATTTTTATCAATTCTATGAATAACCTTGTAATGTTTATTTAGCGTTTTTTTGTTACGAAATGCTTTTGAACAGTATTCACAAAGAATACGAACACCAGCCATATACTTGTGGATAAGTTTGCTGATCTTATCGTAATCATTACTTAGAATAAATGCGTAATCGTTATTTCGATACTTCTCTTTCATCTTTATTTGAGATTCTGATACGTAGTAATTGTTAGTTGGTGATTTGAATTCGAAACATAAACCTTTATATTCCCTGTGATAATCTAGAATCATTAGATCTGTTTTCAATATTAAAATAATATTGAAACTAATCTAAAAACTTGAATGTATATTTTTTCTATCTTTATTAGTTGTTGTTTTACGTTTTTTTCTACAAATTTTTGAAATAATAGAAGAATCAATAACTAATTCAATTGAAGCTTTTTTAATAGAATCAAATCTTCTTTTCTCTCCTGTTTCAATATTTATAGAAATAATTGGTTTACTTAGTGATTTTTGTAAGTTTTGTTTTGGAGTAAGTAATTGTAAGTTTTTTATTCTGTTGTCAGTTTTAACCCCATTTATATGATCCGTTTCTAAACATTTTGGAATTGGTCCTCTAAAAACCTCATATACAAATCTATGATGAGAATATGTATAAGGTTTTTCAAGTTTTTCATTATAAATGTTAAATTTCAAATAACCATTACCACATTTACTCATTCTAATAATTCTTCCAGTTTTTACATTTATTACTTTTCCATTTTTATTTGCGGCATAATTAGAAAACACTGAATGTTTATAATATTTTACACCATCAAATATTATTCTTTGTTTTATTCTTGAATCAATCATTCTATAGTATCCATATTTTCGAATTGAAGGAAGAACTTTAGTAAATACCCATTCGCGAAATATTATTGCACTTGGTAATCTAGATCTAAAAACAAGTTCATAAAAACCGGGTTCATCAACAAATATAATCCATCTGCCTTGAACCTGACCGCCCGTTTCAGGCGGACAGCTCAAAAGAATTTTTCTTTTATGATTTTCACTTACATGTCTCTTTATAGCATGTTCTGTGTTTTTATAACCAAGAATTTGAGCTACCTCTTTAGCTTTGAACCAAATCCTTAGTTTTTTATCAATAAATGAATTTATCTCAATTCCTAAATCTTCATTTTTATAACTTTTCTCCAACATGTTTGACATTTATATAATAATTGTATTCTTTAAGTAGTTTTTATTCACTATCATCTGGCAAATTCTTTAGTTGCTTAACACTCTCAACTTTTTTATTTAAATCTTTAACACTTTCAACTATTTCATCAAATTTCAAATAAATTTCAATAAGACGAAAAAGTTTATTCTTTATATCACTATCTATTTTCAACCAAGAATATTCCTCATTTTGAATTTTCCCCCACATCTCACATTCACCGGCCATTAGTATTCTAGAAAGATTATCATTAGTCTTTCTAAGAGTTTCAAACTCATTTACTATTTTTTTTCTTAATTCTTTCTCAAAATCTTTGAGTGTTTTAACATCCATCTTTTTTTCTATCTCAGAAAAGAATTTGGCTTCCATTTATTATATAAATAGATAATTACCTTTTACAACTTTGTTGAGAGTATTTGATTTCTCACTTATTTCCATAAGCAACTCAAATACTTTTATAAATCTAGTGTCATTTTCCAATCTAGCATGCTCAGCATATTCATAACTCATATTTAGGTTATTGTATATCTTTTGAAGTTCACTTTTAGAAAATTAGATCTAGTAGTCATACTTCGTATATGTATTTTATCTAAACATTATACTAAATGAAAGAATCATATTGTATTGTAGATAAAAGGGTAACCCCTTGCACAGAGCCAAGTGGTTACCAAACAGATAAAAGAGGTAGAACTCAATTCTTTTGCAGATGCGCAGTTTGTGGAAATAAAAAAGTTAGATATGTGAAAACTGGATCAGCTTCTCAAAGTGGAAGTGGAAAAAAGAGAAAAACAAAAAAGAAGTCAAAAAACTAGTAAGCCCGTCAGTGATGGCGGGCAAAGGTTTTTCTGATGCTTTTGGACCAATCAAAACAGGAATAAATGTGGGACAAAAAATTTCAGAAACCTTGTTTCCTCAAACAAAGCAAACATTTAAAGATTATTGGTCTGGTGATATTGCTAGAGGTGTTGTTAATTCAGAAGATGGCATATTTACTTCCAATTTCTGGACGGGTGAAACAAGGGTCTTTCGTTACGGTGGTAAAAAATTTTATCTCAAAAAAGGTAATCCTATAATGATTGTCAAGAAAAATGGCAAACAAATTGGATATGATCATGTAAAAGATTTTTTTAATGATGGTTTAGGAACTAACAAAATATACAAATCTTTAGCTGAAGTTAAAAATAAATACGGTTCAGGTCTTTTTGACACAGTAGTTGGTACAGCAGTTGACGGATTTGTTCATTATGGTTTACCTTGGATGGGTAAAAAAGCAGTTGAAATGGGGCGATATGGAGCAAGCGAGTTAATGAGAAATAAAAATCTTCAGAAGAAAGCTGTAAATTATGGAATCAGTAAACTCACTCCATTTATTCAAGATTCTGTTGGATCAGCAATGGACCAGTTATCAACCAAAGTGAGACCGAAAAAGAAATATAAAACTGATAGACCAGAATTAGATGGAAGAGGAATAGATATTCACAATGCTATTCTCAAAGTAGCACCCAGTAAAGGTTTCGTTTTACCAGGACATAATTATACTGGTCCTGGTAATCCTCTTCATAATCAACTACGTCATGATGATGAGGGAAATATATTAGAAATCTACCAACAACCAACAGGACCAACTGACGCGGTTAGTATGCAACATGATGTGGATTACACAGTTTGTGGAAATAAACCAAAAAGTGAACAAGTAAAATGTAAAAATAAAGCTGATAAAAAAATGGTAAAATCCCTGGATGCAATTCCTTTGAAAGAAAGACAATGGGGCCATGCTATGGCTAGAACTATGATAAATACAAAACAAAAACTTGGAATGGGTTTAAACGCGAGTCGGCGTTGGGTAGTGATTGGTCTCAACAATTAGCCGACGAACTTCACAAACCAATCACAAGAAACTTTCAAAAGAGATCAGTAATCTCAAACGGGATTGATGATATCTGGGCTGCTGATTTAGTTGAAATGCAAAAGTTTAGTAAATGGAATAAAGGGATTAAATATCTTCTAATGGTTATAGATGTGTTTAGCAAGTATGGATGGATTAAGGGATTGAAAGATAAAAAAACTGAAACTGTCAGTAAAGCATTTGAGGACATATTCAAAAGTAAACGTAAACCTCAAATGTTATGGACTGATAAAGGTTCTGAGTTTATAAGTAAACATTTCAAAGATTTTCTGAAAAGAGAGGGAATTAAACTGTATCACACTGAAAATGAAGAGAAATCTAGTATTGTTGAGCGATGGAATAAAACAATGAAAAACAGAATGTGGAAGATGTTTACTGTGAATAACAACACTGTTTACTGGGATAAGATAGATAATCTGGTTAATGACTACAATAATTCGAGACACTCTAGCATTAAAATGACTCCTGTTGAAGCTAGTAAAAAGAAAAATGAAAATAAAGTTTGGTCTAATTTGTATGGTGATTTAATTTACTTAAAACCTGGTAAATCAAATTTTGTGGTTGGTGATCGTGTTAGAATTTCTAAGTATAAGAGGCGAGTATTTGATAAAGGTTACACACCAAACTGGACAGAGGAAATATTTGTAATTGATAAAGTTTTACCAACAAAACCTATTACATATAGCATTATTGATTTGATGGGGGAAGAGATTAAAGGTTCTTTTTACAATCAAGAATTACAGAAAGCAAAACAGCAGACATTTAGAATAGAAAAGATAATCAGGAGGGATAATAAAAAGAAAATGGCATTAGTAAAATGGAGTGGTTATCCTGATAAATTTAACTCATGGGTGAGTTCTAAGGATTTGGTTGATTTTTAATACAATTATTGTATTAAAAATAGATATTTACTCATCTTCTTCTTTATCAGATAAAATTAAGTCTTCAACTACTTGATCAGTTATCTCTTCAATATCGCTTTGCTCTTCATCTTCCTCTTCAATTGTTAGTAAAGACTCCCTAGGTTTTAATGGTTTGATATAGCACTCATGTACTTTTATTTGTAAAGATGTAACAGTCTTACTAATAAATATTCCTTCAATTATTAGTGCCATTTTAACATTGCAGTATTGATTAATATATTTGAAAGGATTTAAATCCTTCTTTCCTTTTGTTTTAAATAGTGAAAGAATTTTCTTTGATTTCTCAGAGTAAATAAGTTTTGCGTAAAGAACTGGCGCTGATGATTCATCAACTTTTGTTCTCTTTTTTCCTTTCTTGTCTGTGTATTCTATTTGTTTATAGTAAAATGGTGAAGATAGAGATGATGCTAAATCTGGTCCATATTCATTCTCTAAATGTTGCTGAGATAGAGTTGTTACATTATTAATAACATCAAAAAATGCTTTTTCTTTATTACTAGGTTCACTATCTTTAGACCAAAGACATACTGGAATACTATAACCAACTAATTTACCTGTTTCTTGATTTTTCTTTTCATTAACACCAAAACTAAAAAGAACTGGAGATTCAACTACAAGTGGTCCTTTTTTGTTATTTGGATATTTGACTTCAATTGGAATACGTTTGTATTTAATCTTGCTATCTTTGACTTTGTACTCTTTGGCTTCATTAAAGATAATATTCTCTTGGGTAATATTTTCGTAAGCTGTTAACTGCATTTTATTAATATTTAGATAATCTTTAAGCCATAAATCAATTTTTATTTTTGGGTTGAATAATCAATTGTTTCTGCATCAAGTTTTTTAGCATTTCTGGTTAATCTCTTAAACTCTGGTCCTTTAAAAATAAATTTTTCATCTGGAACATAATCTGGATCCTCTTCATGTCTATAACCATCATCAACTATAAATTCCAAATCCTCTTTTGTAGGAGTAGTCTCTCTTGATCTTGGTTCCATTTTTTATTAGTTGGTTATATTATTAGAAACCTCTAATAATAAATATATTTAGTAAAGTAGTAATCTTGTAACAAAAATATGTTATAAGATTAAAAAGATCATTAATCACTATCACTATCACTATCACTTTCACTATAACTATCACTATCACTATCAGGAATACAATTATAAATAGGTTCTTCTTCTTTTATTTTATCATTAAATAAACTAACCAATTTAAAAAGCTCTCTAAAACCTGGAAAGTCTATATCTATATTTAATTCATAAGATTCCTCATCAAACTCATAACTATCTCGATCTACATATAAATCACTATAATTATCCAGTTGTTCTTCTAAACATTCTATGTTATTAATATCAGAATATTTAAAATAAAAATCACTAATATTTTGAAGTTTCCTCATTTTTTGAGCCTCCAAAACATTTTTAAAGTGACTAATAAGTGTTCTTGCTCTTGAAGACCAAAAAACTTTTTCCAAAGAATCAGTATTTTCTACAAGAAATTTTATAAACTCACCACACTTCTTATTAATCCCTCTTATGTAAAGCCATTCTTTTTTGAAGTCTTTTGCATATTCAGGAATCTTATTATTTTCTGTCATTTTCTGATTATTTTGACTTGAAAAGTGCGCCAGATATGCCATTCTACTAACTACTGTAGTGGCTACAAATACACCAATATTCCCGCCAAAATGCTGCGCAAAAAAATAGAATTTCTCTATAGACGGCACTGTATAAAGTTGTCATGAAATATAAAATTCTCGTCAGTCTTCCGTTTCCCAGATGCGACAATCGGGGGTCTGTTTGATTTTTATTTTTTGAAAAGTAAACTGGGTCGCAGATTATAGAGTGGTAACCACGGTCTTTTTAAGAGCGACCGCCAAGAATAATTGAGCAAATTTTCGATTTTTTTGCAAAAGTGTCACAAAAAGCTCTTTATTTTAGAGAATAACATGAAATTCAGTTTGCAAGTTTAGAAGTAGAGTCAGACGGTCTCGGGGAAGGACTCCCGTATAAAAGGGACGGCGGGGAAATTTATCATTTCTCGCTTCTAAGTGTAAATTGCAGGTTAATTTTGAGACGGATCGCTTAATCTTGAGGGACGTATGCCTAGGAAAAGCTCCCACAAAAAAGTGACGTAGACGCTCGTCGGAAAATTAAAATTTTAAAAACCTCTAGAGACCAGCGTGGGTCATCCAGGAGACCATGACTGACTATTATCAGACCTTTAATGATTAACAGATCTCCATTTAAATTTGTACTTCTCCATTTAAATCTGTACTTTCAAATGTTATCTCTTTTTTTTGGAATGTTCTGCATATAGTCCAATCAGAATAGTCGCTTTATTGAGTGGTGGTGTTAAAGTAACATTATACGGGTCTGCAGCGGAACGTTCCGCGCATTAACCAATGAGAATGGTTATATTGATCGATATCACTTCACACTTGTAAACAATGTGGTGACGTTACCCAGGTTTTGGGTTATATGATACATGGAACTATCAAAAAATAAGATNATTTTATAAACTCACCACACTTCTTATTAATCCCTCTTATGTAAAGCCATTCTTTTTTGAAGTCTTTTGCATATTCAGGAATCTTATTATTTTCTGTCATTTTCTGATTATTTTGACTTGAAAAGTGCGCCAGATATGCCATTCTACTAACTACTGTAGTGGCTACAAATACACCAATATTCCCGCCAAAATGCTGCGCAAAAAAATAGAATTTCTCTATAGACGGCACTGTATAAAGTTGTCATGAAATATAAAATTCTCGTCAGTCTTCCGTTTCCCAGATGCGACAATCGGGGGTCTGTTTGATTTTTATTTTTTGAAAAGTAAACTGGGTCGCAGATTATAGAGTGGTAACCACGGTCTTTTTAAGAGCGACCGCCAAGAATAATTGAGCAAATTTTCGATTTTTTTGCAAAAGTGTCACAAAAAGCTCTTTATTTTAGAGAATAACATGAAATTCAGTTTGCAAGTTTAGAAGTAGAGTCAGACGGTCTCGGGGAAGGACTCCCGTATAAAAGGGACGGCGGGGAAATTTATCATTTCTCGCTTCTAAGTGTAAATTGCAGGTTAATTTTGAGACGGATCGCTTAATCTTGAGGGACGTATGCCTAGGAAAAGCTCCCACAAAAAAGTGACGTAGACGCTCGTCGGAAAATTAAAATTTTAAAAACCTCTAGAGACCAGCGTGGGTCATCCAGGAGACCATGACTGACTATTATCAGACCTTTAATGATTAACAGATCTCCATTTAAATTTGTACTTCTCCATTTAAATCTGTACTTTCAAATGTTATCTCTTTTTTTTGGAATGTTCTGCATATAGTCCAATCAGAATAGTCGCTTTATTGAGTGGTGGTGTTAAAGTAACATTATACGGGTCTGCAGCGGAACGTTCCGCGCATTAACCAATGAGAATGGTTATATTGATCGATATCACTTCACACTTGTAAACAATGTGGTGACGTTACCCAGGTTTTGGGTTATATGATACATGGAACTATCAAAAAATAAGATAAAACGAACATGCTGTTATCTTAAAAACATATGCCCTTGTTTTTTTTTTCATTACTATTTTTTATTTTTTAAATCATAGGGTCATTTCGCGTACATGGAGGATTTCAAAGTCAAACCTGTGATAAAACTCGAAATGTTCCTCCTTTCAACCACTAAATTTTACTCACAAACAAGCCTTGTGTTATCAACTGAGTGGAACTAAGATAGAGCTTAACCGCCAATGGACTGGTTTAACTTAAATGCATCTTATCATGTTTATTTTTCTTCCTTGCCGTTCGGTGTTATTTCTAGCGCGTGCAATGTCTTCCCGGGAGTTCGCAGACCGTACCACAACAACATAAAGCATGAATTTATTTAAAACATCACGTTTTAAGAAAAAGAAAAACAATCTTCTTCTTCGTTTACCCGACGTAACTTCACTTTCGGCTGTATGCAAAGAATACCATAATGTTAGCCCCTTTCAAAAATAAGTCAAACACGTGTTTTTTCTCATATGTTTCAACACTTGATTTCTTCATGTCGCTTTGCTTCGGAGTATTCTGCCCGTCCTCCAATGAGACGGAAGAGCATGCGAAATATAATAATGGGTCTCGAGAGAAGAGATAACATCTTGACGGCTGATCGATTCTAGAGTCTGCACTTTTTTGAGCTTGTACTTGCTGTTCTTTGTTGCGCATGCCGTTGTGGAAGACTTGCTTACCTTGGAAGACTCGCGTGCTAACGGCGGGCCATAGGTTTTCTGTGACCACGCACGACCGCTAAGTGTAATTTGATATGATATTTTTTTCTAATACTTCAGCGTGACAAACTGTCATGTAGGTTGAAGAAATTACTTATTTCAGGGAATTCTGCTCCTTAAACAGTTAATTTATTAGGAAAAGTATTACTTTAATGTTTATGAGTTCCTCAAAGAACATATTCACGCTTTTGTAGCAAAACTCGGTAACAGATGTTTCTGTTGGTTTCCGTCCGCCATGTTGGTGCTCATCCGGATGGGCACCAGCATGGTGTCTACATACAAATTTCTATTAATTTTGTGAAAACATTTCCTCGGATATCTCGTATACGATGTATTCCTCTGACCTGAATCTTGGCGTGGGTCTTGGCATATTTACCTCCCTTCATTTCCCAGATTGTGGACTTTACCTATTGAACCGTTTTGATTTTTAGGGACTGGCCATTATTTATGTAGAAGGGGCCGGGGGAAGGGAAAAAAAGAGGGGGGGTGGGGTCAAGGCTATTTCAGATTGGCTAAATGGGGAAGCCAAACTTCTTTGGATGTTTAGGGGGGTCAGCAGTTTGATCACGAGGTATATCAAAGAGGGGTCCATTGGCCAAGATGGGTAAAGCATGCAGTTAAATAGTAGAGCACAAACAGTGTATGTGAAACAGTAACGCTAAATTGTACAATTTTATGCTAATCCTATT